GAAATGACAAGTGATATAAGTGCTCCTATGAATATCGTTCTTTTTATATCACTTGTCATTTCGCCGTTCCTGAGCGCGCGAAATTTCAGCCCTATCATTTGTGGAAAATAATCGCTTCTAATTTAAAAACTATTATAGCCTCGACACTTTTGTATTAGGATTTTCGTCTGGAAATGTTCTAAGGAATCTGTCATTAAGAGGACCTCCGGTGGTTTTAGGACACCCTGTATATGCAAAATATGTGTAAATGTGTCGATATGTGCACAAATTCATGTGGGGAGGCATCGGTGATTCCTAGTGTACATTTCTACATACACATATGAGTCGGGACAATCGTTTAATTGCTGCATTCGGCATTACACATCTGAGGTGTCGGAGTGCTTTTCCTCTCTCTCTTTATCTTATTGATCTCTCTCACTCACTCGATCACAAGGGAACACTTCGATGCCTCAGATTTGCAATGCCGAACGCAGCTATTATACAAAAAAAACTATTTAAAAAAATCACGAAACCCAAACACAATGAGTCACAAGACACACGTCATATATTGCGTGGTTGAGACATTTCTTTCGAGGAATTTTGAAATGCATAATCGCAAATTATAACTCTTCATTACATCGAGCCATATTGTTACAGTTCTTTGATACGTGATTGCATTACGGAATTGATTGAAAAAAGTATTTTAATCTCATTATATACACATGCGTCCCTAAAAGAATGACGTTTTCATACCGTATTTAATTCGCTTAGTATGTTACGCCGTCTCTGATAAATGTAATCTTATATTCGTACAGTAAAAAAAAATTACGATTAAAAATGCCGACGTCAGTCCCGTGCTTGATACGCGAAATCTCTCGGAGTGAAAACAAGTGAGCTCGATGCCCGCAGTGTATGCAACACGTTGCATCGAACTCCAGCTTTGTCAAACGCAAATCTAGATTTGCCAATTCTCGTATAAAATACTACGTTTTATATAACTTATTATGTGTATTTTCAAAAATTTGATCAATTTCAAGCAATATGGTACATGCATGCAAAGATAAAGGATATATACTTACATTTAAAATAGGCGATAAAGATATCACACATTTGGAAACTCACAGTTTTTTTATTCATTTATATTAAATTTTATAAATACAAAAACAATAATAAATTTTTATACAACTTTTACAACGCTCTAAAATTAAGAAAGGGCCTCCGCTTGTACTTCGAAATAGGTTGCTCTCATTCGATTTCGCGAGAAAAAAATTCTCGGATAATGATTCTAACAACAAACATAATGAAATGGAAAATGCGCGGTGAAATGGTGTTTCGTTTTTCTTTTATAAAAATGATGCTTTTATATATAATCAGTTCCACACGCCAGTTGGGACAAGATAGCTCTCACTGGCATGCACGTGATTTCACAGTAGTAATTATAAATAATAATTGATATTAATAAAATTATAATATTAATAATGACAATGACAATAATAATAATGATAATAATCGTAATAGTACAGGAAACGAATAATAATAGGCGTTCTATGCTAGCAATAGTGACATTATGCTACTACTTTTCCTTTCTCTCGTCATTAATGTAATACTTAATAATTAACACTCTCAATTCGCGTTACACCGCGCGGCTTGTGTTCGCTATACAATTACAATTGCCACCAGGGGACAACTCAAGTTCCTCTGAAATTAAAATTTCGTATTTCTCAGAGTTAATTCAAACGTGAATCCATTTTAACAATCCACCTCCTTCGTTACAAGTTCCGAATCCCAGCTTCAGAATTTTCTGTATTGACGTATCTCATAATAAATTACATTACTTAAAAACACAATTTCTAAAAAGTCCATTATGGAAGAGTCATACATTGATAAGACGCGATCCGAGACCGATCGAACTTAAAATTACGATTGCACTGTTTTCAAAAGTAATAAACAACTAAAAAAAGAATATCGAAAGTAAGTAGAGAGTGAGCTGCGCGGTGTGCTTTCGCGACGATCGCGAATATTACGTGTGTAAATACATGATACAAGTTACACTACTCGTTATTGTTATGTGAACTTGAATGAACGCATATATGTACACGCATGTACGGTAGCCAGGCGTCGCGAGCGGGCGTATACTTTTGTTACTATCAACGTTTACGACAGAGCTCTGTTTGCAAGTTAATCTGAATATAATTTATTAAGGTATCCAAGAATATCCGAAAAAAGATTCGCTTGTTAGATAATAAATACGTTTTGCGGAAACAAAAATCTGTCAATAGATCTGGAATTATTAATCGGTACACATGATTCAAGTAATAGAACATAAATCAAATTCCTCTTACGCTGTGTGTGTGAGCTTGTTATGGAATCGCAACAGATTACTTAAAAATTTTTTTAATCGACAAAGAGTTCATGAAGTTTAAAATCTCCCCATGTCAAACTGAGTTCCGTTGTTCTAGTATATCGTCACCGTCATACAATGTATCATTGTAGTTTCGCACTCTAGCATGCATGTGCACATATACGCTTGTACTCTGGCAGTGGGCTCGGCTCCGCTTAATACTCTGGTACTATGGAGTTCTTATCACAGAGATATTAAATTGTTTGGTGCACTTTTCTCCTCTTTTCCCCTTCTCCAACCCCTATCTTTCTCCGCCATCCTTTCTTGCGCTATGTGTCAATCCCTTTTCTTTCTTACAATTCCGCAGCGGTATCGTCTGGCTACGCCGATTAATATATTACGCACTAATTTCCACGCACTAAATAATGACCAATTCGAATTCTCACAAAAGCGATAAACAATTGCGACGATACCATTAAGGTTCGATTTCCTTTCTTGCATTTTTGTCAATTCACTTGTCGTTCTTGTTATATCTTTTATATGCAAGCTGTGTCTTATTATTTGTATTATATCTACGTATAAATATATAATAATATAATCAAAAGCGTATAATTGTGGGAGCAAAGTTCAAAAATTTTCTAAAGATCCACACGGCCGTTTCTAAGTTAATTTAGATTTTAATTGAGTCTTCTGTCTGTCTTTAGTATTAGGAAAGGTGGCAAAAAGAGTAAATTGGACCTGCGATTAACAATTGATTGACTTTGGCAAAGCTAGCCTCGGGATCTTTGAAAATTTATCTAAATTTCCTGATAAATTGTCGACGAATAAAAATTCGCCCGTCCGATCCGTTTGATACACGAGAGATTTCAGTGACATCGTCGTCGAGCAAATCTCAACTTGTACCTATTACTTTAATGCACAACGTGGTGTGTTACGTTAAAACACAGTCAATGGAATAAATTTGTTCAAAAGTATAGCGCAAGTTAATTTTTGATAAGTCATGTTTTGAAAATTCTTAATTTTCTTAAACTTGAGAACAATGGCCGGTTATTTGTTATAAAAGTTGTGGAACGCGTCTTGAATCTTTAATAAGTAAATTTTTTGTCGTGTATTAGGATTTTTAATTAAGATCACATAAGCACATCTATTGCATGTGTCATTTTTATAAACTGCCGAGAATAGTATATGCATTAAAAAATATATATATGACCTGTCTCAAATTTATCATCTTTTAACCAGTTGATAAATATTCAACCGACGACGATGATAGCAACAGTCACTGGTATCTTCCTGTTTAAATGAATCGTGACGCTAACGAGGTAAACTGATGTCAGTCTTGTTAAGGCTGGCAAGAGATTAGTTGTTCGACCTTCGCGATCGTGCATCCGACACAACGAAGGGCGAGTCAATCGGCACGAGTTAGACAATTACACATGACAATTACACGACGTCGAAAGTTAGACCCAAAAAACGGGTATATAAATTATTAAAAAAAGAAACTGACATCGCTCGCGTGCAGCGATGAGGTAATACGTGCAAACGTCCAAGTTACAATTCCTTGCCTCGCTCTGCTCAACGAATGAACGTTCGGATACTGTGAACGACTAACACTTTCGGCCATATCGTATCACATTAGTCGATAATTGCGTAATGCTCGATTGTTGACCACGATATTCGGCAGTTGTGTGGCTAGCGGTAATCGTCTCAAAAGTTGGCCGGCTATTTAAATATTTAAAATATAGTTTTAATCATTTTGTATGCTGATTACTGACCGCTAAATATTGCTGGCAATAGTTGCTGTACAATGTATAAGTATACTAAATACCACAGGTATATTAAACATATTTCTCTTATATTTGAACGAGCTGCCTTTACCACAGGCACATTTTCTCGGTTTGAGGAATACTATAAAAGTTGTGCATTAGCTACTTGTGGTACTCGGCCGCTCTATACGAATCGCGCACAATGTTAAAAAGACGTAACCCCTCGCACAATAAATCTACCATATACTTGAAATATAAAGATAACATGTACATAAAATAAATATGAAATATAAATAATATATTTTTAATAGCATATCTAAATTAAACGCAACATAAAATTTTCAATAAAGCTTTTAAAGAAGTGAAATGTGCGTATGAGACAATACACGCTTTAAAATTAACGTATTGATTTTTCAAAAAAATTCGCCATTTTTTTAAATAATCTTTTCTCTTCCCAAATTTCACCTATATTTTCACCCCAAAAATTTGGTTTAACGAGATTACGTTTTTTTAATAGCTGTATGTATTGCGTACGCGCGACTACCTCACCATGCACGCTCACAATCTATGATTCTATGTGATCTTTTTGCGATCGAGGAATATGTTGTATCTCTCTCTTCATCTCTCACACATCTAACATAAACGTAACGTTAAAACCTCAAGATACCAAGAGGCTATCGAACAAGATCGAGAACGTTGCGAGTGTGTCGCCTATGAGCCGTTAGGAAAATACACGCAGTCCGCGATGGATTAATTGTTATTAAATGTCATTAAGTAACAAACGCGGCTTCGATCACCGAGCTAACTTGGCGCGATCAGCTTCTTCTGTGGATCATGCTGATTGCGAATGGAAAGTTAAACAAGGCCAACGAGCTGATTTACTCGTTCAGGATTCACCCAAGAGGCACGTGAGCAATCTCTCTTCCGTCCAATTCCGAAAACGGAAAACCGCCCGTGCTTGCTGGACGCAGTTTCGCATAGTTTTTTTTCGTAGTCGACGAGCTAAAAGTCCGTTGCTCGTACACTTTCCGATTATCACTTGACGTTGAAAAACCCAAACTCGAAGTGACTTTTAGGTTCTTCTTTCCTTCAAACTCGCCTTAACCGAAGGAACCGATCGATTCTCCCTGAGAGCTCTGACTCTCAATATTACCAAAGTAGGATACTTTCTGAGAGACCTTCTCCTTCAGTTCCTAAAGTGACCTCCGCGAAGCTGTGCTAGTAGCTTCGGCATGTTCACTATGAAGCCCGCGCGAACTGAATGACCGAATTTTGCCTCTGTGAGATTAGGCCGCCACCACCGCCGCCGCTGCTCCTGTACTCGCTCTCCATAGATTGAAGAATCATCTTACTACGTTTTCTGGGCGGTAAGATCAGCGTCTCCCGCGGTGGTATCGCTAGGTCCAAAGCCAGGTCGGGCGACGACGCCGGACTCTCCGGATTGCTACACGGTGGCGTGAGCAACGGATCCCGATCAACTTTGACGATCCCGGTACCGTATTCTTGCCTCTGGCGCTCTTCCTCAACCGCCTCCAGGGCGGCCTCGACCCTTCGGCGCGCATCATTACCCGGCAGATTCAGGAGGGACGAACAGTCAGTGGCATCAAGATCCACGTTGCTACTGGTGGTCAAACCGAAGTTGCCGTACGCCGGTTCGGGATAGAAGAACATATGGTGGGCTACTGGCTCCAGCGGCGCGCTCACCACTACACTCGCCTGGAAACGTTTCTCGTCGATGTCAGCGAGCACGGGTTCTGCCATGTTCGGTGCCATCAACGGCTGCGAATACTGCTGCTCCCTGTTGCCGGAATAAAGATAGTACGCAAAGTCGCGTTGAACGGCATAAGCGTTAGACGTCGAGTCCGGATAGTCTTCAGTCTTCAGGTTCTCCTTGTCGTCGACAGCGATACTCGGTAAATTTGGACTCGCTGGAATCGCGACCAGACCAAGATTTCCGCCGCCGCTGCCGTCACCATTGCCACCGTCCTGGGAGATCTCAACGTCCGGTCCGATCGGCGAGCCGACCGCCGTTGGCGAGGAGATGCCACTGTCGGTGACTGTTGAGGTAACGGATGCTGGCGACTCCGGGTGCTTCTTGATATGCAGCTCCATCGTCTTCTTGGAACCGAAGGTCTCGTTGCAGATCGTACACTTGTATACTTTCTCGCCGTAGTGCGAGACCTGGTGCAGCTTGAGCACGTGGTTGTAGCCAAATGCCTTGCGGCAGATGTCACAGGTGTAGGGCTTCTCGCCGGTGTGGGTGCGCGTATGCACCTTCAATTGCTTGGAACAGGTGAAGCCCTTCTTGCACGCCTTGCACACGTACGGCTTCTCACCGGTGTGCGTGCGCATGTGTATGACCAGCTGGCCGCTCTGTATGAACGTCTTGTCGCACACAGTGCACTTGTGCGGCCGTTCGCCGGTGTGGATGCGCATGTGGCGGTGCAGCTTGCCGCTATGCTCGAACGCGCGCCCGCACACGTCACACTTATACGGCCGTTCCTTCGTGTGGATACGCCGGTGCACGCTGAGGTTCTCCTTCACCGAGAACGACTTGCTGCAGTACTCGCATTCGTACGGCTTCTCGCCGGTGTGCGTGCGGTAGTGGCGCGTCAGCCGCGCCGGCACCGCGAACGTCTTGCCACAAATATCGCAGCGATATGGATCCTCGCCGTCCTTGCCGTGCGACCTCAGGTGACTCTGATACACGCTCTTCTGCGCGAAGCTCTTCTGACATAGCAGACACTGGTACTTGCCGACCTCCGCCGTCGTCGGGCTGGCCGGGTCCGCGGCCTCGACCCCGTTGCATCCTGGCGTGGTCGCGAATATTGTAAGATCTGGACTGCACACCAAGCTCTTCACCGAGTTCATAGTCTCCAAGCCAGTGGCTAGCCCGCTACCCGGAGCAGATGTTGACATCGTTGGATTCGGCAGCACGGACTCCGCCTGATAGTAGCCCAACATCGAGGCCGGAAGACTGCAACAAAATCATTTGGAATGGTCCGATTAGTTGGATTATATTATTCCTTGACAAGCAAATTAATCCTTGCTACAAGTTCATACTACCGTACGACATTTCAGCACGTATGACGTGTTAAGTAAGAATTTCAATCAACCGGAATTTCAGCTTAAATTTAAAGACAGCTGTTTACGTTCTCGACTGTGACTGGACGCTTCCCTTATGTTTGAAGTTTCACTTGAATTTTCCCGTGTGCCACGGCCTTTATGTCGACAATCAATTGTGTTGCTGTTAATATTGCATACGTCTGATTGCACGCAAACTAAGCGTACCTTAACTGCATCATTATTTACGGGCTATGGAAGTCCCAATGATGGTTGCAAAACGCGTTATCGCCTTTAGAATAATATCGCGATAAGATAGCCCGTAAGTGTCAACAAAAAATGTACAGTAATTGCACGGCCGCTCGTAAGTGGGCAAGTGGGTAAATGCATCATGAGCACACGTAACATGTTATCTCATCACGTTCGCTAAGAAAACTAAACAACTCTGCGTTGTAATAAAAATAACGATAAATAACGCATTAAATCGCATATTCAAATATAATATTTTTAATAACAATGTTCCAAACGACTATTATGAGCAGTGTGAGCCGTCACCCGTCTTAAGGTGATGTAACAATTAACTACAAATTTATAAATTATAAATATTATTTTTAAGTTTACCCTTTTGTGGAAACGCCTCTCAACCGTGAGATTATATCAGCGTGATATTTCTAAAAATTCCTTAAAATTCATGTGCTTAATCGTGATTAAACGCTGAAGCCAACACTAGGCGCTTAAACTCCTTCAAGCGCTGAAATTTTGAAATTTCCCTTACCGGAAAAATATGCGAGACGAGAGCCGGGATCGAACCGAGGACTCTACCATTACTAATCTTTTTTTTTCATTTACATATATAACTCTAGGTTAATATAAACATTAATGGAATTAATAACATTATAGCTTCTGCTATACATTAGCTTGTCTTACAATATACTTAATTTTAAGTTTGTACTCTTATTTACATGTTTGGTAGTGGAGTAATATTAGAGTAGACGCAGGGCTTTGACACAATTATATTGCCTTCTTCTATTAAATTAGTAACGTAGGAAAATTAACTGCGGAAAACACCTACATGTGGTATGATTACTAGTTACTCGTGATATTAGATATTAGATGTACAGTGCGGTGCATTAACTCGCTTCGGATCGTATCGTCAAAAAGCATCTGTTTAAATAATCAAGTAATTTTTGTCCATCCCTAATTATTGCCCGAACCGAATTAACGCGCTACGTTTGCTGTTTTACCATCCGACAGGCCACGCTCTGTCGCTTCAGTTTTAAACTCGTACCGCCCAATTCGTCAAGTTTTCGTTCAAATTAGGAAACGGACCCGAGATACCGTAACGGTAATTCTAATATAGCCAGTGCTAACTTGGCTCCCAGGTAAAAATACGAAGTGTCTGCGAATATCTTTAGATACCTTCCGAATCGGATGAATTGTCGAACAGCGTGTACGGCGCTAAGCGCCTGCACGCGCGCGGCGCTATCGCCCGACAACGGCCGCGGGAGGCCGCGGGCGTGGTCGGCGGTCGTTCTGCAAGCGTATTGCGCGCCGGCTTGCTCGCCCCTCCCCTCCCTCCCACCCCTTTAGCCGTCGCTACCAGCCAGCGCTCGTCTTCGCACATCGCGCGGCCGAAACCCGCGCGGCCGCCTCCACGTGTGCGAGTCGCATTTTTTTATAGCGATCACCGACCTCGTCCAACTCGGCGCGCAGTAAGGACGTCGAGAGTTACATCACAAGAGGAGCACGCGGCGGCACACGTCCGGCGATAATCGCGCACGACGTTTCGTTCTTTTTTTTTTGCCCTCCCTACCTCCCAGTCCCCCCTTCGCCCCTACGGTCCTTCTCCTCCGCCAATTCCATCTCCACCATCTCCGTCACCTCCCTTTCATCTAATTCCCCCTATTTTTCCTGTGGGGAATCGTTCCTCTTCTTCATGGAACTCTGACTGATCGACCGGGCGAGTAACGCTACGCACAAAAGGGATACAAAAATTATATTGATCCACGAAAACACCCCCCGTGCTGAAAAGGAAAATCTCACCCTACGGCCAAACCACCGATGCTCGCGCCCGAAAGACATTCTCGTGACGAATTTCGAGTGGTGGAGCCACCGCTCTTCTCTTTCCTCGACTCGAGTAATCTAGCAATGACTTCTGCTTACGCTTTATGTAAATTACCCTAACGCATAAGAATAATTAACTGCGGTTCTTCAAATGACAAACAATTGATATCGATACCTTTTTCACGGAGAAATTTAACGTGCTGACGCGTAATTTTTTTAATTCGCGATACACATTTGTCGACACGTCACCGCGCTCGATTTTTATTTTTTTATTTCCTATTTGATATATTTAACGAATCCCAATAATCCACTCGTAGCACAATGTATTGGCGCAATATCGGGAAATAATGTAAATCTAGTATTCCCAATATTGGCCCAATGTTGTAAGAAGGACGCCTTTTCTTATTTAGCCAATGTGTCTGTTTAGCAATATCGGTCTAATATTGCATCAATATTAGACCAATAGTTATTACATTGTTAAATATTGGCAAATGCACTTCCAATACAAATCTAACATTATATAATTATTATCGTACAATATTTACATTTATTTTATGGCCAATATTGGCCTTATGTTAGACAATATCGACATTTCTAATATAACCAACATTGGACCAATATTTAGCCAATGCACTCTGCTACTAGGGCAATCCCGTAATTTTACAAATTCACAGTTATGCATTTTATATTATTATAATGAGTAAAATGTTTAAAAAATATATAAACAAACGAATATAAGGACCGCGAACTAGAATAATTGGTGAATAAATGTTAAATGTCACATATACGATCAACTAACACGTAGATAAATATAATAAAAGAAAAAGACTTATACAAGTATTTGTTTCGCGGGCATATATCAATATAAACGCGTTTGCGCTATTTTATTCTCAAAAAAAAACTTCTAAGACTAAAAACTTTAACTGCATTTTAATAGTCTGACAATTTTAACATAAGTTACATTGTTTAGAAACCATTTTACTGATAATACTATACGAGTAAGAATATGTTTTCTGCTATCGACAAGCCTGTACATGCAAACAGGAGAACGAAACGGGGCCTATCAGCAACCGAATGTGATGACGCGCGGTTCTGGTCCGGAAAGTTGATGACAGTTGGTTCCTCCGCGCGCCTTCTTCGGCTTGTTTTCTCCCTACGTCGCGTGAAAGTGGCTTCGGAGTATCGTCCGTTTAATATCCAAAATCAAAGTAGCTCACTCCTGTACCGTAAATACGCTACGTCACGTCAAAAGCGCTGCGTTCCGCTCAATTTAATGGCAACTGTCTTTTTATCGCTCGCGCGTGCGTGCGTGCATGCGTGCGTGCGTACAGCGATGGACAGAATGGAAATTGCGACACTTTTTTTTAATGAGTTTAGGAACGTGCACTTAGATTGCGGATTACGCTCCAAAATCTCCTCCGCGGAATATCTTACTCGATGGCCATGTCAAAACCATTTTGAGCGTTTCCGATCTATTTCTCGAGTTCCTAAACGCATTAAAAAAAAACGTTTTGCACCAATCCTGTCCATCACTGTACGCGCGCGTATTAAATCTACGCGATCTACAAAAAAACCTAGATTACAAGTCCGAGTATCCGCGGGTAAGAATGCATAAAGGGTCGGGTAAGAACGTACAGTAGTCGAGAGAATTCGTGAAACTACGTGGAAACAGAATACGCGGAGTTCAAGTCAGTTTTCGCAAATCAGGACTCGCGGTGTCACTTTTAACCGGACGATTAGCAAGGAGAGGGAAAGAGAGAAAGAGAACATGATAAATAAAAAGAAAAGGGGTGGATTGAACGTCCCCGTCCCCTCCGGATGGAGAAAAAGAGCACCCACCTATGCGCCACGTTGCGCCCTAGAGTAACCCAAAATCCGGGCGCTGGTAGTCGACGTCCTTCGCTTCGGCGACATCCGGAAGGGAGAGACCCGTGACAGCGCCGACAGCGAGCGATTCGCAGAATCCCGATCTCGGTCCAACCATCCGGAGGGATGCGCGAGGGCGAAACCCGGGGGAGAACTCGCGTAAATTCGGGAAGAAGGAAAGAGAGTTCCTCTTCTGCGCTGCGCGAGGGACGGGCCACAAGACGAAAAAGCGAAAGACCTGCCGCCGCGAGACCGGCTAATCGTACTGTACAATGTTTACCTCCTCAGCCGAACGGAGCGATCACGGCCGAGGCGCACACGCGCGAACGCGCGGATCCGTCCTCCCCACCGCTCTCTCCTCTTCGCATCTCCCTTTCCAGCCCCTCCCCTCACCGTCCCCCCCGCCATCGCGCTATCGCCCGCTCGCCTCATCCGCCTCACCCGGTCCCGCACCCCGCGCCGCACCCGTTCTTCGCGAACCGACGGCGGCGACCTACAATTTGGGGCGGCTGAGTGCCGCTTGCCAGCACGTGGAGGCTGTCGGCGTGGTCGGCGCGACTTACCCGCGCGTGCAATTCGCCACGACGGCGCGCGAGGCGAGGGCGCGCGGTGAGTGCTGAGGCGGGGGGGGAGGGGGGAGGGGGGCGGACAACGGTGCGCGAGAAAGTGCACAGGCCTGTAGCCAGCGCGCGCTGTACCCTCGCCACTCTCAGTCAGGACAGAATTTAGTATCTGAATGATTTTAATTTTCAATTTATTGCGAAAAATTTACGAATCGTGGACGCAAGGCTTTACAGTAGACAATATTTTCTTTTATTTGCAATACGCAAAATTGATTCTCTCGTGATTACTATTACTCTTCGGAATATCTTTAAAGAACCTAGAGTTCTTCACATTCGTTTATGTCAATTTTGATTAACAAAGATATATCATACAGCAGGTACTGGTATGGCCACGTTGCATAATCCGAAAATTTGTTATCGCTTTATCATTACGCTACTATTGTTGTTTCCAACGGAAACCTCCTAATCAGTGGCGCGCTTATTACGTGTAGCAAAGCGTTCATACACAAACAAGACGAACCTTATCAATGATTCGTGTTGATCCGTCGTGTTGCGGAGCGTTACAGGCCGCAACCGGTGGCTTCATTTCGAAGCTTAGGCAATAAAACAAAGCTTATTACTCTGGCTAATCAATTGGCATATTGTTGTTATAAATGGTAACCACTTCACTCATGCGCGAAAATAATCCCTTGTTTAGCTCGTCAAGATCGATCACAAAACAACGGTGACAGATGTTCAAATATCAATCAGATATGTGAACTGTAACAAAAATCTATCATGTCGCCCAAAATTTGCAAAAACCGTGACATCTCTTTGCACATTATGCAGTTATGAAAAATGACAATAAATACTTATTTTTATTTGAAGTGCATCAGTCATGAAAAAGAAAGAATCGGCAGCACAGAAATTTAAACCCGGTTTTTTATATATAAAAATGTAGCTTAAAATATTACAATAGACATAATTCGATTTAATCCTCCATAAGATTAAGGGATAATCTGTTCAGTTCGGGACGTGTCGGAGAAGATATACCATATAAATGCATTTAAAATTAATACATGCTCCATCCGATACTGTCTTCAGAGATGCCCCTACGCGCGATACGCTATTGTCTGAAAAGCGAGAAAGGGTAAGAAAGGTGGAGAGGAAAAGAGAGAGTACGTGAGATTGAAAAACGAAGACAGCGACAGGGACAAAGGATAGCGGAAAGAGGAAGCGAGATAGGGATTGCGAAGGGAAGCGACGCAAAGGGTGCAAAGGACGCGGTGACCTGCGGACTCTTCGCACGCGCGCAGTCACGGATTCACTGCCACACGTGCGCCCGCGCTTGCGCTTGCGAATCTCTAACCCCCGTGTACCAGTGTCGCGTTGAGCGCTCCTGCGGCCCTATAACTTCACCAAATCCCATAAACATGAGAGGTTCCTCTAATATCGGTCTTCCCCAACTTTTGCCAGAGCTCTTTCGCCAAAATATTTAGCGAAGGTAGAAACACAATCTTCTCTTTATCAGTAAACAAAAGCACTCTTTTCAGAGTTGAAGAATCAATCCAAGTAAAGAATGAATAATGGCACTCTTTCAAAAAATGAAATTGCAATTGACTCCAGTCGGACTGGCAGTATTTTCATTATTTCTTCGAGTAAATCTCACTCCAAAAGAGATTCTACTAAAACAAATTTAGTTAAACGCACGGTTTTAGCGTTTTTTTTTAACAAATTATATTTAAAAGCACCTATGTATAACATTAAGAAATATTATTTTTCGGCCAAAAATGCCTTGTTGCTCAGAAATTTTATAAAGAAAGTATTTTAGTTATTTGGAATACAAAATTACACGAATTTAAAGGTGGCATGAACGTTCCAAATGCGCTCAAGCACTGAAAAAGTAGGACATTATTCATACCGCTATGCTTCAAAGTTCACTGATTCTCTTCGTCTTTTTCTACTTTTGCGTCTATAAATATAAGAAAAGGAACTCACAAGGAGAGTACGTCAACCATTCAATAGTTATTTAATCTTTCTGTTGAAAGATAAGAAAAGGAATAAAGTGATTCTTAGGAATAGATTCCTTAAAAAGTGAGGTTTCATGTGTGTTAGAAAATGTAATAGAATTTATTATTTAATTTGCGAAAATGATGATATTAAAATTGCCCATGGTAGGGCAAATTCTTGATACGGCATTGAACGGTATACGTTCTATCCGTCATTGATGGCTACGCGCTCGCGCGCGCGCGCGCACAAATACGTGCGTACATGCGTATGTGCGTAACGATTTATACTTCATAGGGTCGCGTCTGTCTTTCGCTTTCACCGTTCTGTGCTTTGTCTTTCCTTCTTCGTAAACTCAGATAGCGCATGATCCACGTGGTTGCCATTACATTTATCAAAGCGGCCAGGGTAGCAAACGGGGCTGGAGACAAAGGTTGAAAAAGACTACACCCACATTGCATTAAAGGAAGGAGGAAACGAGTATTTCTATTTAAATTCATCTTATATTTTTCAAATACACCATCGAGTTCAGGCATCACTGTGCTATCTAGAGTAATTTAAATTCTCTCTATTTTTTTTTTAAGTGAGAATCTCAGGCCGAAATTCACAATTTACACAAAATTTGCAATTAGATTAAATGTTTTTAAATTCGATAAATAGAAATTGATATAGATGATTTCAAATAGCCGCGATAACAATAATGATATTATTAATAATAAAATTTAGAAAATGACATAATGTTATTCTTCTCTCTAAAGTTTTGGAATGAAAATAGAACCATGGAGGTGAAGTACTCATTCTATCGGAGCAAATATTTACTCCATTAATTACAGTGAATATTTACTCCAATAGAGCGAATATTTCCATGGTTCTATTTCCATTCCGAAAACTTTAGAGAATTTATTGAAATTTGAACGATTTTTTTCTATTTAAATTCGAGCATTAGTTGTATTAAAAAATTTTGAAAGCAACAAGTATTCCAATGGATTTCAAAAGATACGAGTATCTTAAAATTCGAGAATCTCGGGTATTCAAATGACACTCGGGATATGTTGAGCTGTAACAATTCTGAAATTCCTACAACAATATGAAAGTTAGATGCATCGGAATATATTCGACTATATTCGATTATATTCGATACAATGATGCCCTGAATTGTCTGACGATTTCTTTTTCTCTTTTTTTTCATCGCTTTCACCACCCAATCAGTCAATCGTAGAAAGTTCAAGTACGTTGCGCGTCATAGACGCGTTTGTGTTCGTATATGTCTTAAACTCATCATTAGATGCTCCCTTTTAACCCTAGAAGCAAATGTTGTAGTAAAAATTATGATAAAGTTCTTTTTTTCTATCATAGTTTAATTCAGTTTTACATTACGTTTAATAGTGTACATACACATATCAGACAAAAGAGCTTGTCTGTAGGTATTTCATATGAAAGTCAGAGCATCGTGAATACATGTGTACGGTACGAAATGAGTCGAAATACAATAATTGCGTAAGCTTGTATGTTATAATTCAGACCTATCTCTTTGGATTTGTAGAGAGAGAGAGAGAGAGAGAGAGAGAGAGAGAGAGAGAGAGAGAGAGAGAGAGAGAGAGAGAGAGAGAGAGAGAGAGAAAGACAGAAATCCGATGTAACACTTCGATATGAAGAATTAAATTAAAACGAACCTTGGCGAAGAGTTACGTTGATTGTCTGAAAGCTCGCGTGGCACGTATCAATATTAGATAACGAATATTCTGCGTTTTCATCAGTGTGGCGACCTTGTATGGACGCAATAAGACACGTGTTGACTGCCGAAATGCGTAGCGATTAATATGCTACATCGAGAACTCGGTAAAATTCACTCAAGTACATTTAACATAGCTTGTTCGTGCACACATGTAATGCACGGTGACATATTTTTCTCTAAATTTTCCATAAAATTAATTATTTTGTGCATGGAAACATTAAAATTAAATCATTAAAAAATTAATAAGATTATTAAAGAAATTATTAAGATATATCTATTCATTACATATGTAAAAGTACGTCAGAAGAATAAAATTCATATGCGTATAATTGCATAAATCTTTAGCTTCCACAGTTATTGACATAATAATAATTAACATCAATTGCAAACTCGTTTAAATTCGTCTACAGTCAAAGTTTGTAACAGTAGTTTTTCCTACGACGTTGTTTCTTAAATAAAAATTTCACAATCTGTGTCGTACTATCTCTGTAAGGCACATAGAGAAACAATATAAAAGTATTCTTATTACATAAAGTTCAGACAACGTTTAGTCTGTTACGATTCCTTTTACGAATTAGTTCAGATATTGTTGTTGTTAAGCTGTCGTAATGAACAAAACTACTTACAAGTTGCCATCTCGCGTATGCACTATTTGTCTTGCCGTTGCATATAAACGAAATATGACTTAATATTTTTAATTATAAAATTAAATACCTTCTTCTCCTTCCTGTATGTCTCAGCATACTTATGGTATATGTATATTAATCATTTTATATTTGACATATCATGATGTATGTGTAGAGACGTGACACACATTCGTAGCACAACCATACTTACCCGAAGAAATTTATTACGAGTACCGTTCTTTGGGGTCAGAGCACAAAGCAACGTAATAGCTTACGACAAAGACGTAAGCATAAAAACGTAGATAGCGCACAAGTTGTGTGTATGTCGTACTTACCTTCAATTACATATGACGTTACTTTTATCGATCAAAGCTTATGCGCTATCGTTTACGCTTACGTCTTTGTCGTAAGCTATTACGTTGCTTTGTGCTCTGACCCTTACGAAACTTACTTCCTGC